CAGGCAAAATTCATTTATTTATTTATTTTTTCCTCTCTCTCTTTTTTTTTTTTTTTTTCTCTCTCTCTCTCTCCCCCTTCCCCCCCGAAAGAAGGTTAACAACAGTCGTATTTTTCGTCAGCACTTCAGGATGCAGTTTGCCTAAACAAGTGGTTTTCAGAGTCTTCAGACCTTTCACCACTTCAGGACACCCTTCACCACTTCAGGATGCAGCCTGCCTAAACATGTGGTTTTCAGGGTCTTCGGATCTTTCATCACTTCATGACCATTCAGGATTTTCAGACTGCCCAAAACTCTCACTTCACCACTTCAGGATGCAGCCTTCCTAAACAGGTGGTTTTTCAGGGTCTTATGACCTTTCACCATTTCAGGACAATTCGGGATTTCCAGACTCTCAAAAACTCTCACTTCATAATTTTCATTCCTGAATTTCCAGTTACCCGTGAACCGCTTGTGTCCCCCCTCGGTGGCCTCCTACTATTTTTTTTGTTCCTTTCTTTAAAAAAAAGTGGTATCTTTTTTTTTTTTTTTTAAATTCAAGGTTAATTCGAGTATGTCACTATTGTTATTATTATGATTGTTATCACTATTGTTGATATTATTATTATTATTATTTTTTTTTAAAGGGTTATGGAGGTGTCGGGGTTTATGACTGAAGGAGGATGTCCGACAGAGGGTTTTCCGCGTCGGGGTCAGCCCTATTGCAGTGCAGCAGGCCCACCCACTTACCCAGTGATCTCTCAAGGGAGAAGCGCACGATCCTTGCAACCCACCCAGTAGTATCGGCCCAGACCGGCGCTACCAGGCCGCTAGCGACAAGGGTCCCCCCTCCCCCACTCAGGGCTTCACCTCCCTGTAGCTCCACTGCCAGGAGGCAGTCTGCACCACAGTCACAGTGGTGCCGCAGCGACGCGCCAACTCCTGCTAGAGGAGGGGTGACCCCTTCACACCTCCCGCACGCTCCAACTGAGTCTGCCCCTCCCGGAGCCACCCCCCCCCCATGGCCTCGACAAGCCCAAGGGGAGGCACGCTGTCGGACCAAATACCCTTACAAGGGTATTTGGCCATGCTTTTGCATTTGAC